GAGCAACACATACAGCATACAGAAAGACATCCCACATGAGGTGACACTGGGGCCCTAAAGGTGACACACCTCCCAGTTTCAGTTATGACTTTGAGGCTTCTGATCAGTCTGCTGGGGGCTGCATTACAATGGTTGGAGCCCATGCAGAAGAGATCACATGGTAAAAAAGAAAGTCAGAGGGCAACTGCTCAGGGATTAAGAGCACTGGCTTCTCTTCCAGAGGTCCTGACTTCAATTCCCACCAACCACATTGTAGCTCACCACCACCTATAATGAGATGTGGTGCCCTCTTCTGGCGTGTAGGCATACACATGCAGGCAAAACACTGTACGTGTAATAAGTAAAACTTTAAAAAAAAAAAAATATGCTGCTTGCTGGCTTTCTCCTCGTGGCCTGCTCAGACTGCTTGATTATATGACTAAGGACTACCACCATACACACTCATGGACTAGACCCACCCACATTTATCATTAACTGAGAAAATGCCCTACAGCCTTGCCTACAGGCAATCTGGAAAGAGCCATGTTTTCAGTTGAGGCTATTCTTCCCAGATATATCTGCATTTGTGACAAAAACCAGCCTGCACTACCTGAAAGGTCAAGCTAAGTCATTTATAGTCACTTGCCCTCTGGAGAACCAAGAGCAACATTAATCCATTCCAGGGGAGTGCTGCCTCCAGGGGAGTGTCCCACAGATAAATTACCTTGTTCTCAGCCCCACCTCCCAACACTGCCATACTGAGGTTCATTCTAACACAAGACCTTTGGGGAAACATTTTCAAATCAAATACAAACCATAACAACACCTAAACCAGACAAAACAAAACAGGCTAATCCTAAAAATGAGAACTGGAATGAGTCAGTACTCTCTACTGCAGAGATTTCAGGAAGTTGACTATAGTAAGTACCGCCAGATTTTTAAGCATTTCAGAAGCTTTTGTTGTAATGTGCATGCATAGCTTAGTTTTTATACAGCAATCTATTTATAATTTTTTAAATCTCAAAATGAAAAGAAGACCTGTTGTTCTTTATGGAGACAGTGAGAGGGAGAATATCATAGCACATGATAGATTTCATAGAAAGGGACTTTCTCCTAAGCAACTGAGGTCTGTGGCCCTAGAATACAGAAGCATGTCTCTTTGTTGGAGTTGAACTTAGGAACTTACTTAATAAAAGTGACGATACTTTAATTTGACTATATTAAATTTCTAATTTCTATATGATAATTCAATGATAATTGTTGATCAAAATTCTTATATCAGAATATAATGTCTAAATCTTAATATCTTAGAAATTTAAAGTTCTGCATAACTTACTCATGATTTTCAGGTGAAGGGACCTGCTCCCCTTTCGGCAGCCATAACAGCCGAACACGTGCTTGCCATAAACCTGCCTTGGTCACTTAGAGGTCAGATGCCTGTCTGGTGACAAGGAACCCATCAGAAGTTAGTCTCTAGAAAGTCAGATGCCTGCCTCGTGACAAGGAACCAATCAGAAGTTAGCTGGTGGCGCTATGCTTTATGACTCTGGGTGTGCTTTACGGACAAGCGAACAGCAATGACGAAGAGAGAATAGCAACCACCCTGGGAGGGCCTATGGGCCATAACAACCAGTTGACCAATCAACACAGGGCAAGCCCTCCAAGCCTGGAGACACACCAATCGTGAGCCTGTGCGTACCCCTTACGCTGCCCTATAAGATCTTTTGGGAGCCCATAGGAGCCGTCTGTTCTAGCCGTCCGCCATGGCGGATGGGTGAAAGACCCGAGCTAACATAGGGTTAGCTCGTTAAATGCCTGTGCGTACCCCTTACGCTGCCCTATAAGATCTCTTGGGAGCCCCTAGAAGCTGTCTTTTCTAGCCATCCGCCATGGGGGGGGGGGGGAAAGACTGGAGCTAACATGGGGTTAGCTCGTTAAATTACAATAAAGCTCTCGAATCCGCCTGGTGATTGGGGTGACCGCGAATGTGGCCTGGGACCCCGGGTACTTTAGTTTTCCGGGGGTCTAACACAGGCACAGTATCACTAGTGTCACTTGTCTAATTAAGGAAACTGGGGGGATTAAGACGGTGCTCTGCCCTCACCCAGTGGCTGATGGAAACAGAGACAGACATCCACAGATATA